ATGAGTGAGTGTGAGAGTGTCTCTGGCTGTGGGGCATGACAGCGGAGGAGTGCTCAGCAGCAGCAACCTCTAATTGTTAGCAGGTTATTCATTATGGATGGGAGACAATCAGGAAGACAGACCCCGTTCCTCTCCACAGACCCCAGGGCCATTCAGAGGAGCCAAGCTGTGGAAGAGCAGGGTCATGAAATGTTCCTTCTTCTGTGCGTCTGAACGCAGTCATGGAGCATCATAAATCAGTCAAAATCTGACAGGACACAAGCAAGACATGGAAATTTGGTCAGACGCCTCAAGCTAAACTGCCTCGAGGTGATTCTTGTCTTCTGTTTTCTGAATGAGAGCGCAGACAGAACTTCACATGAAAAGGTCAACTTTCACTCAGACGAGAAGCGGTCTCTCTGTCAAGCGCGGGACATAACTCACTGGCGGTTTAGATGTGGCGGTCTTTAACGCTGAAGGCCCAGTGTTCAGTCTCACACTGTCTTCATTGATGACGAACACTTGAGTCTTTACGGAGGTCAACAGGTCATATTTGGTCATGGCGGTAGATACAGGGTGCTATTGAGCTCGTAGACAGTTAAGAGCAGACACAGACGTTTTATTCTGTGAGTTCTGACAACGGAGAATGGCTACGTTTTAGGGAACACTGGAGCAGCTTGTGTACAATATTATACTACTATATATACTTTTAACACATTATTAAGAATATAATATTCGTCCAACTGTTTTGCTGGCACTGTGTGATGCACTATTTTTACTGAAAATCATGAAATATAATAGAATATAATATAGTATAAATAGAGTCTTAGAACAAACGCAGTTGTTAAACAGCTTTCCATACATGAACGTCTTAGGTTTAACAAGTTGTGTCTACAAAAGAACGCACAATCATTGTTGGTGCACATGTAAAACAGAAGGAAATAGATCTGAAGTGAAGCCTGTGCAGACAGCCGGATTGATTCAAATAGAAGTGTATCTGTTCCGTCAGACACGTGTGAGACAGACGTAAACACGACTCAAACACTTTCTGTGTGTTCATTATTTCTTTAATTTATCACTTTTAAGTAACATACTCCGAGGTAAGTCCACAGTCTGGCAAATATCATTACAGATATTACTTTTTAAATATGTGTGGCACATTTTCATTGGATAAACAGTCTCAAGGTTCATCCTTTGATATGACTGAAACATTTAATAACTAAGTAGTCTGTCCCATAAATTAACACTATTTTGGAACAATTGAAAGATAAATCCCACCTCATTAAATGCTGCCATGCCCGTCATCCATCTCATTATCTTAATATTCCCATTAAACAATATATTAGCCGTTTAATTGATTTGAGTTGGTCCTTTATCCAAATGGCTCTCCATGCTTTGTAGAAAGATGAGACTTCTAAATTTGAACACTATATGTTATCCAACTCTCATAGAGGATCTGAACAGGATTCACCCGGTTTCATTTTTATGAGCTCTACAGATCTGTTTAGAAGTCTCACAGTCCTGATCACGACTTGCTGGCTCTGACCTGGCCTCACTCCACTAAATCAGCTGTCAAGACTTCCACTGAGGCGAACCAGCTGAGGTGGGTTTCCTCTCTTTGCATCTGTTAGCATATTGATGGCTGTCTGCACAGTGTACCTTAGCCTTTACTGCCTCTGCTGACATTACAGTATTGTATTTCTGAATTCAATTACTGGCTATGACTACAGTAACAACGCTGGGGTTATCTGGGGCGACTGGTTGCGCTGGTGTTTCATGGAACCTTATTGATGTGGATCGGACTGACGTTACATAAGGATGCTTCAGTGTGAGAAGATGGCACTCGAGGGAGTGTGTTCACAGGGCCACCTCTTCCCGCCAACTGTATTATTAGTGTTGTTTGGTGGGAATTTATTCAACAACAACCCTGTTCTAGTTCTCTTCCGACAGTACAAAGAGTACAAAGAGTCTATTTAGTTAAAATATCAAAGAGTCTTCAATTTGTGGTGTGAAAAAGGATTGATTGCATAATCCCTAATGTTGTTTAGATGAATGCCTGTTTTGATCCCTCTGTGAGGTTACGAGTTCAGCCTCTGGGTGTGGGTGTGTGTGTGCGTGTGTGTGTGTGCGTGTGTGATAAAAAGAGATTAGTAGTACCAGCATAAGGATAAGTACCTGACCCCAGTGCTGTTTTAAATGACATCCACTTGCCCTTCACACACACACACACACACACACACACACACACACTACTAATCCACCAATCACATCAAGTGGTAAAAACAACATGCTATATACTACAATTAAATCTTAAGGCAAATACACAAAAACATCCTTCATTAAAACAGACTTTCCAGCAACAACTGCATGTCTCTCACATCCATCCACCATAACAAGAGTTCACAAGTCCTGTGTCAATAATCTGGAGGTTGAACTGGAGGAAATGATCAAATTGAATTGATTGTTTGCTAAACCCTGTCCCCCTTAGTTATCGGTGCTTGAGTGAAACAATAGGTCCTTGATTTCAGATAGAAGTAGACAAAAGCAGCATCTCATTTCTAGAAAATGATGGATTTTGCCAACTAAAACAACAACTGCTAGCAGAAAAGACTTAACGCTGTCCCAGGTACTGTTGGTAGAGGTTGCTGACAGAGCTCCAAACGGGACTTTTAGGGGACTTTCTGAAGGACCAAATCCAAATATGGGTACAAAAACAGCAATTTCCTACTTGGAAAACCCAGTTATTTTTAAGGTGATGCATCTTTACACTGCTGGTGCGATTTTGACCACTCTTGGAAGCATGACCTATTTTAGCACCGTGCTGTATATCTTCATCTGGATGATGATTTTGACACTATGTCCAGCTGTTAAGAAACAGTCCCTGGCATAATAAGGGTGCTATTCTTAATTTGTTTTGAGGATAGTGATGAGATAATTATTCCCTTTTCTTCCTTTCCTTTAGAAATATGTAAACACACAGATTTCAGTTAACAAGGAAGTCAACAACTGTGAAAACCGCACTATACAGAAATATGTCCTCACCTCACTTCATTGGAATTTGTGAGAAAGCAAACAACAGAACGGCATGCTATTTATGTCCCCTACTCTTGAATCCAGTTCAGATTTTCTGTTTGGTTTCTGTTCACCTTGTTCGCAAAGCAAAGCCTGTACAGTGTTTGCCAACTGCTGCTATCAGCTTGAACAGAAGTTCAGAGTGAAGAATGTAAAGGGAGAGAGCGATGTGAGGAGAGAAACGCATTCCTTACATTTCTTACAGGGTAATAATTAATGTGCCTTCACATAACCCATACAGCACTGATATGGGTGATGTGGAGGGCCCTGTTGCTTTGCTCCAGCCCCTGAAGTGTTGTGGGTTATTCTAAAAAAAAAAAAAAGCTAAACAACAGTGTCTATTATCCAAAGCACTCTAGTTCCCATGAGAGCTATGTTGGTAATATCAGACATTTAATGACTGATAATTCTACCTCATAATCAGAGCGGGGGAGCCATTGCAGTGTTAAATTGAGCTGATAAAGACAAAAGCGCAGAGCTAGCTCCTTATTAAATTCATTACAGCGAGGATAGAGGGGACGTGAGCAGACTCTCTTTTCTCTATTCTCTCTGTGGCTTCTTTGTTTCCTGGAGCGGTTCATGTAGGAGTCACCGTTCTGTGATTACAGCGATAGAAATCGAGTGGTTCCCGCATCGACCCACACCTGAACCAGCTCCACTTAACTGCTGCAGTGAACGTGCATGCATCCATCCACACACAGCCTCAATGTTAGACCACACACACACGCACTCAGCACAAATACAAATGGGAAAATCTGTGGACTGCAGCTGATAACTGATTGGAATTCAGAGGAATACGTTGATATGGATTGACCCACAGTATGCCTGCTTTAGATGTTAATACTTTCCAGTTCAGGCATAGATGAAAAGCTGTACTGATCACATTCCAGCAAACTTTTTTCCTTTGATCTCATCTGCACCCTAACACCATAAGAGCAGCCAAGCAGGCTTTCCTGTCAGGTAGTAAACAGTGATGCTGACGCACGATGATGCCAAGTCAGAGGATCAGCACTTTTTCTTCCTGTGGTGTTTCTCTGTAAATAAAGTAGGTGTTTGTTGTTTGTTAGTGCTGAGAAGAAGCACAGTGGGAACTTCTGAAAATCAGCTTGTTCAGCCATCTCGGGTCACAACTTTACTGTGCAGAGTTAACAGTGACAACAAGCAACAGCAGTGAAAGAGGAGAGTCTCACCTTGACATTACCCCTTGAGCTATACAATCGGTAAGAACAAAGTCACTCAAATGAAATCTTGTTACCCAGCTTGGCTACAACACTGTGCCCTGAATAGTCCTCAGGGGGAATTCCAGGGACACAAATAGACCATCAGACCAGCGATTATCAGTAAACAAGAAAACGAGCGCGCGTAACGGAAAGAGTTCATTGAAGAAATCAAGATGCACAGCCCAATGGAGCAGATAATCCTATATATTGCTCTTTATGTGGCTCCACTTTGGGACGTTCAATAATTAACAGTTACTTAGCATATTTGTTCTGTGCTGGGAGTGCATGGGGAGGCTGAGGCTGCCGCTCAGTGTGACGTCATTTGCCCGGGAGAAAAGATTTAGTTAAAAAGTTAGCTAATTCCTATTCAGCTCCACGGCAAACAAGCATGCCTGAGTAATTAACAATCAGGGCGCTTTCCTCTTCACTCGGCAGCTTAAGCTGTTCTTTGACAATGCAGCCTTAAATCACAGTGGGTTCAGACCACTTTGAGCTTGCTGGCATATACACAAGTCAAACTTTGCCAACAGCAAGCTCAGGAATGTATAAAATATACACATACAGGTAAGGCGAGTTCTTGCTTTGATCTGAAGCCCAGTATTAAACAGCAGACTGTGGAGTTTCAGTATTGTAACAGTGACTTTTCCAAGTAAATTAAAAAAGATATTTAATGACATTAGACCCACAGAGGTATAAAAGATAGGCAGGAAAAAGGAAAAACTTGTTTACCTGTGTGTCTGTCCACCTGAAACTTTACTTCTCTGCTCCTGATCCCATGCTCAGTCTGTTTCTCTCTCTTTCTGTCTCATGCTCGCGCTACTGATTATCACGCCACATGACTTCCTGTTTCTCAGTCTGTGATGGCAGTTGGGAGGTGTGGATGGGAGGGAGCTGCCCGGTCCTAACCGCTGACCTGCAGGCCACGACAGGATGACTTTGCACGGATCTAAATAGACGACTAAGCTGATCTTAAGCCGCGTGTGAGGATGGTTTAAATACAGACAGCCCGCATCACTGGAGATTCACCTGTGTGTTTTCTGCAGGAAACTGGGAGAAATCACTAAGTTGAGCTCTGCTGCAGCTATAAGTCAGTCTTGTTTCCCCTGATAGAGCTTGGTACTCTCCTGCTCACCATGCACTCTCTCCTGTTTCCTCCTCTTCCACGTCTCACCTGCTCATCTCTTTGTGCTCTTTGAGCCCTCTCAGGGGCTGATGTGGTTGGACTTGTTCTCCCAGTTCTAGAAACAAAAGCCCAGCATGTGAGCAAGCTTTGAGGCGGTCAACCCAGACCCTGCACTGAAACACGAGAGCCAGCCTTACCGGACAAAAACCCACGATGCAATGTGCCTTGTTTGCTCATGGATAATAAGACAATAATGAGGGATCAGACTTGAGTTAAAAGACAGACAGCAGGAACACAGAGAAAGAAGGATGAGAGGTAGGAAAAAATAAGAGAGCGCAGACGAGGAACAAGTGGAAAATGAGAGCATGTGGGGGTTTTTTCTCAGCGTGGACTGTCTGGACAATAGTCTGAGTGTAAGTCTCCCTTCCTGAGGCTGGGTTACTGGACGGGTTCTGCGACGTATCAAGTTACATAACTCAAACTAGAGACACTTGCATCTGAGCAGGGAGAAAAGAGAGGACATTGTTCTCTGCTCCTTAAGTGAGAGAGACCAACTCTTTTCTTCTATTCTTTGCCTTGTGATCTAGGCCACAGAGCTGAGGGGAGTGAAGGAGGCATCTGGACTTCTTAAAGCTGGCACCAATAGGTGGGCACACAGGAATCCCATCTAATAAAGCACCTTGCCAACCAGAGATGCACAATGTAGAGATTGGCAAGCTATTAAAGGCATTCCAGAGCAATAATGTGATGTTTTGTGGTGCCCTTTAGCCTGGCCAGTGCAATTTGAAGAAAATCTGCTGAAAAATGAAAGAAGGGGATAACCCCATCAAAGCTAGACAGCCCAGTCTAACACTCAAGCAGGTGCCGCTGTACCCCTCTCATTACCTTTGGGCCCCACAGGCATAACCAGTCTCAGATTCCACAGATTCTCACTTGTAAGTCTCCCAGCTGGCCGACATAGCAGCTACAACAAGAAAGCTCTGGGAACCTGGAGGAGTGGTGAAGGTGGTGCATGTGTGAATGGATGTAAAAATGGCAGCAGGAGGAGGGAGAGTAAGGACTGAGAGAAGATAGGAATGTGGGGACCCATAGATGGAGATACATGGCAGAAACAGCAGAGAATAACAAGTTGGGGCCAACTATACCTGTTTGACCAGTCAACTAGACGAGACGACAACCCGGGCTAGACTCATTTCCTCCGGCTAAGCTCTCCTGGACAATAAAGTTACAGGAAGCAGCTATGGGAGGCATGCTGGATGTCTGGCTCTTGAGAAATAACATTATCCTTGGTCAGACACCCACCTGAGCTTGGTGTATCTGGGAGTCTGGAATTTGTTCTTTTAGTAAAACCTGACAGTTTGATCACTAAGGATTTAGAAGAAGCTAGCAGGAATATCTTATTCCACAAAGGGAATTTCAAATCAAAGAAACGAAAAAGAATGAAAGAGTCCCATTCTGAAAGGAATTGTTTGATATTTTGTGGAATAGCCTTTTCATTTTCTTGCTGAAACACTGATGAGACAGATGTTTATGGTGAATATAAAGCTTGATCCAGCATCCATTGAGCTTAGTTTAGCACAAAGACTGGAAACAGCTAACCTGGCTCTAGTTTGAAGGTAACAAAGTCCACCTACCAGCACCTCTAAAGCTCAATAATTATGTTATACCTAATTTGTTTAATTTGTACCTGCCAACTAACTGTTTAGCTCCGTTTCCAGTCTTTCTGTTGAGCTAAGCCAACTGGCTACTGGCTGTATCCTAATACTTACCAAACAAATATGTGTGGTGGTATCGATCTTCTCATCTAACTCTCAGAAAGAAAATGAATACATGTAAAAAATATGAAACAATTTCTTTGAAAAAACTAGTAAAAGATGAGAATTACAGTGTCAGTGAGGCTTTGCTCCACATTTCTACCTGCATGACCAACATGAGACATGAGCAGGTCATGGTAACTGAATGCAACCTTTAAATCCACCGTATTGATTTTATGTAAAAAAGAACAGGATGTGACAGCGAACTGAAATGCTGTTGGAGAGAACAGAGCTGCAGCTGCCTCGACGACGGCTACTTGTACACACAGATATAAATATACAACAATGCCCACTTGCAGAGGAGGGCTTCGACTCGTGGCCTTTTGTTCTGCAATGCTACAACTCTTCAGACTAAATAAAAGAGACAAGGGCCAAAGTACTTTACACACAATTCAACCCAACACACATACGCAGCCTAACTATTGCTGCTGATATCTACAGAAGGCAGGTGAACGCGGGGGCTCCTCACGGGCAGATAAGCAAGATCAATAAAAACATGAGGAAGCGATAAGGCCGAGCTGAGGTGAACACACCACGGCTGACTCATGGGGAAAAAGAAGGATACATTCGTTAACAAGACAATAGTCCGGGGATGAGATGCTGCGCGAGTTAGTGGCAGGGAGCAGCTATTTCCGTCTGCCCTCCGAGTTGGTGACATTTAAAGACAATGGTCACAGTATGGGGTCCGTCCACCCTCCTACACTCTCAGACCTTTCCCCTCTGAAGGTCACAGGGTCCCAATTGTCCCATGAGGATAAAACAATTGTTCAGCAGTCATGTGGCAGTTCCATCAACCACGCAGTCAGTATTAACCCTGGAAATACTGGACACAGTAGATTTTACAATGATTAAATATTAAGCTCACGGCGGGTCTGGTTCATCTGGCAGCAGAGGAGACTTTGATTGACAGAAATAAGCATGTGGGCCAGCGAGCTTGCTCCTCATTATGCCAAATCCACCCATGCATGTTCACACTTACACTTATACATCATCAAGCTGTGATGTTCTGTGAGTTGTTTTGTGAAAAGTTTTCATAAGTGGTTCCTGTTTTCTGTCTTATAATGTGGCTATGTCTAATTTAAACATGATTATAGAAATCTAAGTTATGGCTAAGCAATCACAGTGGTAGTTTAAATGATTTAGTAGACAGCAGGTATGATGTTTGCAGAGGCTGTTTATTTAAAGTGTATGGAAAGAGCTCTGACTTGTTTGGATTGGACATTGGGCAGAGAGAACATACTTCAGACATCCCAGCCTGTTCCCCGAAAAGAACTGCCACCTTTGCTTAGATGCCTGCACACAGTGATATATCATCAGTCTGTGATTCCAGGTGTTATTTTGAGATCATAGTACTTTAGCAGACTTGGTTTTCCTGCTGTAACCTGCCTTATCTATTTTATCTTAAGTAAGGCACACTCAAAGAACTTGACAACATTTCCATTTGACTTGCAGGTGTTAAAATTTAAAAAGTAAGAAGTGTTTTAAAGCAATATTAAGAACTGTATTTTGGCCACTTGGGCGCAACAGAACAAGATGTAAACACAAATACTGACACATATAAAGTTGTCATGGCTAAGACTATTAGGGATTGTATTCTCACTCGAACAAATTGCCTTTGAATTTGAATGAATTATACACAAAAATCTCACCTACTTTTGCAACTTTCGCAAAATGCACCGCAATTTCTTAGAAATGTTGCTGCAGAATCAGGCATTTTAGGCAGCAACAATCCCAAAAAAAGCCTGTGAAATCCTGGAGGGACTGATATTTACACATCCAGCAGACACAGTGCAACATTAGCATTCATGTGGAGTCGTGTTTCTGGCCACCTGACTCTCCTTTTGGCTCTGGTTTGGTGTCCTCCGACTCCTGAGGAAAATACCTGTCTCTTTAGCTCCTAAATGCTCCACTTACTAGTCACTTACATTGTCTGGCTGTCTTTCAGTGCTGTGCAGGTAGCGTACAGTGGGGCTTTAGAGTGTTTTGCAGAAAATGCTGCCTGCCAAAATCAAAGCTGTAAAGCTCCACACTGTCAAAGCAAAACACTGATCTGAAAGATTCTGAAAAGCTCTGTAGAACTGAAGAGAACTGCAGAGCTGGATAATGTTTTTCTGTGGGTTTTGTCACTACAAGCAACCCCATTCACATTACACATCATCAACTGAGCAATTGTTAATATAGAAATGTTGGTGAAACTTTAGGGTGTCTCAAGGACAAGTGGTTTCCTTTTAAATGATTAAGTTGTAGGTAAGAAGGAAATGTTGGGAATGGAAACATACTTTCAGAGATCAATCTTCGTCTGTAAACACCTGCCACTTGGGGATAATAATTAACTTGGGTGTGTTCTCTGTCTTGGCACTTACAAAATACTCAGTTCAAGCCCATAAGCCGTGCAAATTGACCCAGCTGAATTTGTGTAAGGTAAATCAATGTTTTACTGAGCCTAATTAAATCTGAGCTGCTGTCAAACACACTTAAGACTGCGAGAATAACAACATGTTTGGGTGGACTGGTCAGTTAATGTGGTTTAACAACTGATCACGTAGCACAGAATTACATTGGACATCTATTTTTTAGCAGTTACTTACACCGATGAACACTTTCTTTTGATTCTACTGACAATAAAGTCACCAAACTATTACAATTTACTGTTATAGCTTTGAGCAGCCTTATATGCAACAGTGGGAGAATCTAGGCAGGCAGCCGTGCACGCCTGGCCAAGTCCCACAGTGATTTCCTTAACCTAGCCAGCCTTTAATCGCAGCGACAGACGGCCCAGAGAGCGAATCAGGCCAGCCACAGGCAAAGGGATGACCAAGGAGTGAAAGCTCTAAGTGTAAGAGCGTGACACTTTCTCCTCAGAGCGGTCAGGCATGACCTTGTCTATAAAGAGTCTATGAGATGAGTGCAGACAGGAGAGAGAATAGGATAAGCCCAAGATTAGGAGCAAACAATGAGAAAATAGGGAAAGAAAGAAGAGGAAACTCTGAAGAGAGAAGGAAACAGAGTTGAGGAGTGTAAACCCAGGGAGTGCACGATGGGCTGATTAGTGTTTGATTAGCTGGCTGGCCTGAGGGGAAATCTCTGTCAACCAACACAGTGCCACTATGAGCTCTCCCCTGCTACACCATCTGCTAGACTGTAGTACGCATGACTGACCTGCAGTGCACTTACATGCAATAAGAAAAAGGATGTCGGGTTTATTGGGCTCCTACAGGGTAAAGTATTCACCTTTATTTAAGCTTTACATCAGGACCCACATCCCACTGTGGGAATACGGAGGCGTGGAGTTTATTCAAAGTGACTGTCCTTGATGGAAAGGAGTTTTTATCCTCCTCTCTTGAGATTAGGCAACACTAAGCAAATGGTCAGCAGACATCTGACCGTTCAGCAGAATTAGTGTTTCATCAGCTGCCAGTACCGTAATGGGCTGCATGTACTCTCACACTCTCTCTCACACACACACACACACACACACACACACACACACACACACACACACACACACACACACACACACACACACACACACACAGGGGAGTGTCAACCCCCTGGGAGCTCAAACAGCTGAATGAAGACATCTCATCAGCTGTCTGGCTGATTCTGCTGAGAGAAGAGCAGCAGAGAGACAGACTGTGTTAATAGGTTGTTATCAAAAATCTCCCAAAATGCTTTTAGTCAACAGATGGGCTTTGCAGTATTGACAAAATTGAGCATCACGATAGTTTTGACCACATAGCCGAATGTTAATAATGTGGCAATAATCTGTGTGAACTCTTTGAGAAGATTAAAATTACACAATTAGAAAGAAAATATTTTAATAATTGATTATTTTTTCTCTTAATGTCTCAAATGTTCAAAAAGATGACATACACGTTATCAGAACTTAAAGCGATAAGCATTTATCTATATACTCTATTCTTTCTACCGTTACACCAAACAGAGACAAGCAATCATAAACCTTACAGGCGAGACGCTGTAATCAGCACGTGATGCTGCTGCTTGATAAATTACCTAAACAATCAATCGATAGTTAGAATGAGCCACAATTAGTTTCCTGTGGACCGATCAAGTAATTGGATAAGCGCAGACTGAAAAAGGCCATTTTGCAAATCAATTGATCGTGTTAATGTGACAAGACTCAGATGCTAAAACTGCTCATTTTAAAAGAAGCTACAACAGTTGATTCACTTTATTTTAATACAACCTTAAAGGGTCTTCTCTCACATAGTATCTTGCCATGCAGGTAGTTTCTTTATCAGCACAAAATCCACTCATCTACTTTTCTGAGGAAGTTCCAGACACTAATAACTTCTACACAAAATAACTAAAGCTATGAACATGTACAGATACCACTGAGGTCAATGAGAAAATAGGATTTTTTCGTGTGTGTGTATGTTTGTGATTTTGGTGAACCGACCCTTTAAACTGTTAATCTTGCAGTCAACCCTGATCTCACACAATTTCTAGCTAACACAGCACTATTTGAAGTTCATGATAAAGAAAGGCTGATGGCGAAATCTCATCTCTCACCTCTGTGTCATGAGTTAGTGGGCTGGATGACATGGAGAAATGCATTTTTGAGTGGTGACTTTAACCCCAAACACTACTTAAGCTGTCTCAGCGATTGCCGTGCAGCGATCAGTCATACAGGCTCACACAACAGCCGTATATTACCCCACTGTCACATCTTTGAATCCTCCTATAATCCATTCCTAAATTGCAGGACTGGTTACCAACACAGTCTCCAACAACAGCTCACACATCTATTGTCTCTCTATTGTCAGACGCACTCCTCCACTTGCGTCAGCGCGCACCCATAACCACCACCACACTCAAAAGGACTCTTCCTGCAACGCTCCATGAGTCCTCAGGTCAGAGGTCACCTGTGGCCTCTGGTCTCCAGGACAACAGCCTGGAAGTCCCCAAGACTCTCCCCACACACACACACACACACACACACACACACACACACACATTCAGGCTCTCTCACACACAGAAACAGCTTTTGTCCCCAAACTTCTGTGCATCAAAAAGAGACACTGGAGTGTGAGCTTCAACCCAAACATTTACAGCCGTGCAGGCCAAACATTATTCAATACACTGCAGTGGAAGTGCAGGAGACCACCAAAGCTGCAAAGTGACAGGAAATAAATGGCCAAAAAAACCCATCATTGTTCATCCATCAGTCTCTTTCTTCTTCTCTCTGTCTCTCTCTCTAACACACATAGTGGAAAGATCTTGCAAATGCCAGCACAACAGTGAAAACAAATTGTAAGGATTAACCCTGATTTAGGGACTGATCTAGCTGAAAGCAACACCGTGCCACTAGTTTACAGCCTTTAATCTCTACACAGTCAAACATGCCTTCAAGTTAATTTATTCACGCATAGTGTGCAGAAAGTTTTCAACATGAACTACAACTTATCCACGCACTAACACGGACACAGATCCCGGCTGCATGTGCAAGGTGGAGGTGGTGATAGGTGATAAGATTAGAAAAATTGGCGCTCACCATATTCTGCATGCAGGACATCTCTTGGACCAGCTCTGGTAGTCTACTGCAGTTTTGTCCCTCGCTCGGTTATATAATGAAACAAACTGCGTTTACGTGGCTCCGCAGGATATTTTCCAGGACTTTAAGCGCGGAGAGGAGCGGCAGCGATCAGCCTGCTGGCGGCGCGGAGAGAGAGAGAGAGAGAGAGAGAGAGAGGAGCGCACACTGGGGACTGTCTCTTTCCCTCTCGGAGATTTGAACGGCGGAGAGCAGAGTGAGAGGAAAAACATGAGCGGCAGGGAAACATGTGCCTTCTGCCCCCCCCGTTAACTGGCCCGAGTTTACTTCCAGAGAGACAACGCCATCTAGTGACCACAGAAGTAGATGCGCTGCATAAAGAAAGAAATTCAAAGGCATGGAAGGCAAACACCCAGTTAGTTATGGCTGGATCACCCCAAGGCCCCCAAAAGCCCACAGGATTCCTGCATTATTAGCTAATGTTATCAGTCTTGTACAGGAACCCTGTGTCAACATTTTAGTATATTGTAGACTATTATTTTAGGTTATATTGGACTGAAAGTGAAGATTTCAGCACGCTTAGATCAATGCAATCATGTTACTTTATTTAGCAAGCTTTCTGTCTATCTGAAACTTCATCAGAGCAATAGACAGGTAGGTGCAAATAATTACCATCATCCCCAAATCAGTATGCACACAACACCTGTGTTCACCCTGTTGGCAAAAGCCATGATAAATGTAGTTTGCAAGTACTGTGAGGCCTACATGGGTTATATTAAAGTCACATAATTTCAAAATAGACAGACACAATAAAACCTGGTCCTGGGTGGGGTTATTTCAGAGTGCTGGTTGGTCTCTGCAAATGATGAAGCTGCCCTGTGCAGTGTGCTGTGTGCAGTGTGCTTGATGAACACCTAGATTCATACAGAGGGAGTCAATAGGGGCCCAACTTCAAACTGCCTTAGGGCCTCCTTACAGACTAATACAGCTACTGACTGTATCCTTCTGTAAGGCTGCACCTAAAAATTATTTTGATTGTCGATTAATTGTTTAGTCGCAAAATAGTGAAACATTAAAAATATTTATACTCATAATTGTGGTTTCTCTGCATAGCATCATTTCTCTTGTAGTGTAAACAATTATGAATGTAATTATGAATATTACAACCCAGTGTTCATGAATATATATGTTGTGACCCATATTTCTGGGTATGATATCTCACTCTTATAATAATAATAATATCATCATGTTTTATTGTTTATTTCATTTTATTTATTTTCTATGCCTTTATGTTTGGCAGGGAGAAATAAGTAGAAAAAGACAGAGCAACAGTGTCAGTATATAAAACGTACAAGCTTAATGCACAACAATTTACATACATTCATTTAAACAACACAATCTCAAGTTGTCATTGTAATGCTGCAGTGTGTGTTCATTACTAATAGCAACAGGATGAGATGATTTATTGTAATTATATGTTCATATGTGACTGATAAAATACTGTTTAATACTGTGAGAGAAAGCAATATGGTGATATTATTCAGTTTTGATGCTTTATGGTTTCTTAGGTTTGGCTTTAGGGACCACTTTAACGGTTGTGGACGCTGATGTGGCTCCTTGCAGGTTCTGGGCGGTGCAGGTGTAAGTTCCCTGGTCCACGTCCCTCACCTCTTCCACCAGGAGGACAGACTGAGACTGCTGTCGAACCGTCCCTCCACCCACTGGGCTGATGCTCTCTTGTGTGTACAGAGGCCTTCCAATCTGCAACCAATACAGGGGCCCCGTTCAGTTTGGAAATAAACACATACAGCATGGAAAGTAACCTCTTTACAATAAGCCATTAAGTCTTTAAGGTTAATAAGTAAATAGTTATATGCCTGGATGCTCTGCAGTCCAAGGTTGGTGGCCTTTTAACTAATAACCAACTAGCCAGAAAGACAAAGTAAGCTGTAAAGACAGATGTGCATCAATAACACGAATACTTCCCTTTATTTGTCTCAAAACCAACCTGTAATGTATATTTTTTTATGCATCAAAATGGCTTATTAGTGATCTGTAGAGCATTAATAAATAACAGCCATCTCTTCCTGAGTGTCTGACCTGCTGTCCTGGGTAATCCCAGGTGAACTCTACGACCACGTCCTGTTCTCCCACCACGGAGCAGCTGACACGTAGATTCTCCCCCACAGTCACTGAACTTGAGGAGGCCTGGATTACTGGAGCAGGAGGGGCCATGGGGTCTGAAGGCAAATGTGGAGGATAAGTGAGTTATGAAAGCGATAAGTCACGCACCAAACAATAATTGTATAATTGTATCTGTGTGCAGTTTATATGTTCAGTCTGTTTTGTCCTGTTGCTGTTGACTAATCTGTGAGTCCTGTTTTCTGATTTTTAACTAGTAAAAGCAAAATTTTGTGAAGAAAATTCACTGATGAAATTTTTTGTTTAAATGTTTAAAAAGTTGAAATACTGAAACAGCTGAAGTTGTAGTTCAACACGCAGTGGAATTGGAAATACTGAATGAAGTTGAATTAGCAGTGAAAATTGAAGTGCTGAGAGTTGAAGATGATTCAGTACAAGCCCCGAAAGACAACAAAAAACGTTTGCAGCTTTCCTGATAAATTACTTTAACAAGTGAAAATCAAAATCAGTTTCCAATGCCTAACTGATTAATTGGTCATTCATCCAGCGCTTTTCACCCCTGTATGCAAGTTACGTGGACATGATTTGCTCATGATTGTGATCCTCTGTACATTTGTCAGCCCTGTGATGGTTTGTCTACTTTCTACATAGAATTTGCCTTCCTGTCTGATGCATGCTGGGATAGCCTTTGTTATCAATGAATGTATGATTAAGTGAATGGATGACTTGTGAGTGTGGCAGAACTCACAGTTAACATAGATGAGCATGTACTTGGTGGAACTCTGCCTCAGGTTGCCCAGACTGGCTACGCAGTACAAGGCTCCGGCGTGATAAGGCCGGGGTCGATGAATGGTGAAGCCCTTCTTCACGTTAAAGGAGATCTCCGTCCCGTCCACTGCCACCTCCACTGGTGGAAACTCGCGGTGCAGAGTTACTTTAGCCTCAGGTGACGTCACCTGGCAGGGGAGGACCGTCGGCCAGTTGGTTCTCAGCTGAATCACTTCGTAGTAGTCAGACGACGGGACAAATAGTTCTTGTGGGTCTGATTGGCACAGCGGGAAGATATGGCAGATTGATGATAAGATTAAATGTGAGTGTAAAAAGGCTTCCTATCAAGCTGGCATTGAAATAAAGCAGAGGCCTGCAGTTCTGAGAAGTGCATGTGTAAGCAACAATAAAGTTGATATATTGTACCGCGAAAGAAGACGAAGACTTTGACAGCTTTGTCATACTCCTTCCTGCAGTCTGTGTCTTCACAGTACATAGGATAACAAGTGTACTCTCCTGTGTCTGCGCCAGTAGTGTTGACTAATGTCAACACGCTGTATCGCTCGTGTTGGACGATCCTACAGAGCCAAAACAGGAAAATGTCAAAGAACATGCTGACAGATAACACATTTTTAAGATTTCTCAACCATGGAGCTTACCTGAGCCTTCCATCATCATCCTCCTCCAGGTAAGAGGGGATGCTCCACTGCACTGGTTTGCCCCTGCACCTCAGCTCCAGAGTGTCTCCTGTCTGCACACTTATGGTCTCTCCCACCTTTTTAAACTTCCCTTTGTTTAGCACCTTTATGTGTCAGATACAAAACAGTAATTTTTCCGTTTGTTTGATGAAGGTTCCTCTCACTTTTGAAAAGGTATTGAGGGCTGGATAAAATACCTGCGTGAGGAAGGTCTGTGCTGGGGCTGCAGGTGTGGCTTTGATCTTGGGTTTGGCTGTTACAGCTCGGGGGCCTTTATTTGTTGATTTCCCAAGTTTGGGTTTGCTTGGCTTGGGCTTCCTCTCTGGAGTGGTCCTCTGTTCTTGGGCATCTTTTTGACAATAAATGACACGTTGTAGAGAGCATGTCATGCATGAATACTTTGCAAATATAGAAATACATATATACAAATACAGTCAAATGTATAATCATATGAATTGAGCGATAAGTAGTTACTATCTTAATAAAAAAGGGATACAGTAAGATGGCTGTGTGTGGTAATTGTATCAATTTGATCAGATGTAACCTTGTAGAGTAAGCCATGTCATGCATTAGGCCAACAGAAATATCCCTCCTTAGTAATTTTAGGAACGCAGCTTCAGAGAAGTGCTCAGCAAGTGAATAAACTTACCTAACTCGAAGATTACGGCACAAATAAGGAGAGCGCTCAGCACCAGTCTCCGCTTTGACCCAAGCAAGTTCACCAAAGGCATGATTGATCAGTGGGATATCAAAGTGGTCTGTGGATTGTTAGTTCATTCAGTTCAACACAGAGAATATACCGCAGAAACCAAAAGGAGGGAAGGAGAGAGAGACGAGGAGGAGGGCAGAGCTTGCAAAGAGAGCCGTCAGCTGTTTACCAGAATCACACAAATTCCTCCTCCTGAGAGTGGCATTAGTACCTCAAATTCCTCCTGACTGGCTCAATGGAGGCTTTCAAGCCTGTCCAGACCAATGAGGTTCCAGAGGCAGAGGCCCCTCCATGTGGAATTGCACAGCCTGTTTGCTTAGCTGCTGGACTGGAAGTGTGCTAGCAGCATGAGTCTGGCCCTCCAAAACACACCACACTGCCCAGAGGAAGACTGTCGCAAGGTTATTAAAGGCATTTGGTGCCCAATAAACCTTATGCCCTACATATGCTGCTTGTCTTTCCAGGAGTAAAACAATTTACTGGTTTGACCGGCTTTACACTAATATAAATTGCACAAGCTCATACATGTTCTACTGCTTCATGTAAAGCATCAAATAGCCTTTAGGTGGACAGGATCCCAAATTTCTAGTGTGAAACAATTATCTGATTAACAAGATTTTAATGTGAAAATCCATCCATTTAGACCAATATTTTTTAACACAATAATCTGTTGCACAGATTGTAAAACTTTAGGAAAACTTTAGATTTTAGGCTGTATAAATAAACTTGATTTGACTTTGACTACAATGTCTCTCTACTCTCCTGTTATCCTAAGGGTTTTGCATATTTGATTAAATCCATAGCATGCTGTACCCAGTGAGAACAATGTAAACCTTTCCTTTTGAGGGACTAGCTAAGCCATGATTTTGAACATGACACAGGTAAGCGGCTGTGAAAGGTTCTTTTGTTCTCAGTGAACTGCTGGTAGTGAGCCGGTCTCTGGCTCTTTATCCAAGATTACGAGTGGAACTGGACTATTCCTTTTTATCAGCATGCCCTGCAGAAACTCCAGATTGTACTCGTCTTGAAAACTTATTTTTAATTAAGGAATACATTTACAATATTCAATTAGAAAACATGTACAGTTTCCGTATTTACAGTTTAAAACAATAAACAATTAATAAAGTGAATCTTAAACACGCTAAGAGCACAAAAAAAGGACATTTTCACAAGATTTTCTGTATCTACATTATGCGCTTTTCTACAGTCCAACTGTATATTTTGATATGTAAGAAACAAATATCTTGTTATTCATAATCATATTTAAATTTGTATACAATTATAATTAGTTTCTACATTTTACAAGTGGTATGAAAAGTGCAAACATTTTATTTAGGTTGAATAAAATTGTAATCATCAACAGAAAACAGTCTGAGCCCTTTTTTCTTTTTATGGTGTACTACTTTGATAGTAGATTTAGAGGCTCCAGGACAGGGCTCTCACATTGATACAGGCAACATACACAGGTCTAAAATTATGCCAGGCATCATTTCAGTGTTGGCAGTGACAATATTTAGATACATTACAAAATCCATCAACATGTAATAAAGTGTAAATGTGGAATAAAAGTTAACAACTTGGCCCATCTGTCCATTTGTCTGCATTTCAACACTGTACACCTTACAGACATTGAACAGATCAGCACCGGTGCATGTAAAACAGTAGTTACACACTTAAAGCAGTTACTCACTGTAACATCTCAATCTATTTCTCTCCACTCAAGCCAAGCTCAGAATTTTTCTTCTTTGATGATGTTCTTGTCTGTTATGCTGCTGACAGTTTCAATCCTCATCTGGCCGGCCCTGAGACGCTTCCTCTGAACACTGTTACGCATACCGTAGCCAAAATAGATGAGTAACCCTGGAGAGAGAAGAAGGGGATCATTACAGTTCAGCAGCTATCTCAATAAAAGCCCAATAAACCTTTCAAGCAGAAATACTGTCTTACCCACTAACATCCAGATAGCGTATCGCAACCATGTGTCTGCGCCTAACTGGACCATCAGGTAGACGTTGATGAGTGTACTCACTATAGGCAAAGCTGGGAGCAAAGGCACCTGTGACCAGAGAAAGTAGGGGATGTGGGGTTAGTTTATGTTATTTGAATTTACAAAAAACATTATGGGTGTAAGATACACAATTTAAATGTTCTCACCATGAAAGTTGCCTTGGTTGCATTTTGTGGGTGCCTCCAGATGAGGAAAACGTTGAGCACCACGATAAATGCGAGGATGCAGACGATCACGATACTCCACGCTTCCATATTGGCCAGAGCATCTATGGCTTGTGTCAGGGTGACACACAATGCAACCACACATGCAACTGCAGAAATAGAAAAGATGAACGTTGCAGATCAGTTTGAGAACCAGAAAGAACAAGGGGAATTCTCAAAAACAAATAAATTATTGGTGGTTTATAAAAGGTACTAGAGTGCATGCAATGACAGTGCTTCGGTGATGTTTGCCTAACTTACCAGAGAATACAGTCAAGATTGTGACTGTTCTGGAGGTGGATGAAGTGGGAGATGATGGAGGCTTCAGGAAGCCAAACTTGGCCTTTACTTCTATGATCTGTAGGTCCGTGTCTTCGGATGGACCCACTTGGTACCTTGATTGCAAAAACACATTTTAAAAAATTTAAATGAATTGAGTTTTTGAGTTTTTCAGCATTCTAAGTAGGTCTAAGTCAGAGAGGAAACTAATAAAATAAATATACCTCAGTATCAAGATGCATATGGCCACCAGTGTGTAAGCAAACAAAGTGCCGATGGACATCATTTCCACCAATGCTTCCAGGTCAAACAGCAGGGCCATGATGGCTAAAGATGACAAACAGGCCATATGGATTTACTTCCAGTCCATAAACCTCACCACATGTAGATAGAAGCTAATAAACAGCTGGAACATCTGTACCTGCCACCGTTCCAGACGATATGGTCGCTATAGCAGGGCTGCCCTTGGGGGTGACTTTGGTCAGGGGATGGAAAAGCAGGCCGTCTCTTGCCATGGCGAACATCACCCGGGGCATAGGAAACATCGAACCCAGCAGGCTGGGGAGACGAACGCAAACAATCAACGACCATCTAAATGCTTTATAAACAGACTGAAGACTTATTTTATTTGGGAAAGTGTAAGAACCTGGCCTTTCCTGATTAATTATAGTTAATTAAAGACAGTAACATTGATGCCAAACTTAGATGTATGATGTTTTGATATTTTGTTTCTTGATGTGATTCAATGCCCGTCCTCAGATGGTGATGATGATGATGTATTTTAAACTCACAAAAACAGATTCCTTTTTAAAAGAAATATAATTCACAATCTTCTTGTGCTATGCTATGTTAATAATATGTGTGTAATGAGTGACCTTGCAGCACAAAGGTATCATACCTGGTGGAAAGGGCACACAGGGATCCCACGGCCACTACGTATTTGGCGGGACCCCAGCCGACGTATTCAAAGGCCACTGGCAGGGGGCTTTTTTCACTGAGCAAGTAGTAGGGCATCATCAGGGTGAGAGCAGCAGACACAGCAAAGTACGCCAGGAAACAGATAAGTAGTGAGGCCACAATGCCCACAGGGACAGACTTCTGGGGGTTCTTCACTTCCTCACCTGTAAAGAACAGAATAAAGAATCTTAATAATAATTTATTACTTAATAATTTAGTTAGGTTTGTTACGCAATACAAGAGATGGAACATCATGAAAAGATATTGCAGTAATAATGTGTAAGACAGTGATAATTTATGAAGATAAGAAGAATTCTCCTTTACTGCTCTTATCAAGTCATAAATTAGTAGGAAGGTTATTGTATCATCTTGACTGTTCAGCTTCAGTACTGGGCGTTTAGCTTTCAGCCACATCTATTGATCTTCATCCGACAGAGTTTGCTCAGATGTCATGGAGATGGTTCAGATGTTATCAGGTGATCAATTCCATACTCAGAGTCACATGATGACAACTGAACTATCTCTATGACAACTGAACAAACACCGTCTCCTGATGAAGGCCATAAGATGTGGCTAGTGGAAACTTTTTTTTTGGTGTCAAATCTTTACACTAAATTAAAAATGTTATTGGACAATTGATTCAGTTTTGATGTATTTTAATATTACATATATATCAATACTACTTCCAATAGAGGAATTGCACTGTGTAAAATTCTCACAATTTAATCACATTTCAACGATTATAGCACACCAAACATATTCAAATCCATGGCTACTTTTAGCACACATTTCCGCTTTGTCCCTGTTTATATTATGTGTATTTGAGCTCACATATATTTATTAAAGCATCATCTACTAATATATAATAATAATAATAATAATAATAATTGCACTGATACTTATAAAGGGAGAAGAGGTACTCTGACCTGTTGTAGCGATGCAGTCAAATCCAACAAAAGCGTAGAAACATGTTGCAGCACCAGCCAGCGTTCCACTGATGCCATAGGGGAAAAATCCCCCCGCCCCATACACACTCGTCACATTGACATTAGAGCTCAGGTTTCTGCAGTGGGGAGATTAATTTGTAGTTAATTCCAGTATGATAACCAGGAGAACAATACTATTGTATTTATGTAAGACAGTCTCCTGCACACACCCAAACACAGACAGCATTATATATATATATATATATATATATATATATATATATATATATATATATATATATATATATATATTGCACATTACTTGAGTTCTGTTGTGGCGTTTATCAAAGCCTCTTCACTGATTTGCCAGTTGGAGATGTCACCCTTGATGAATCCAGAGATGGCCACAAACACCAGCACCAGGATGTTGATTGCTGTGAAGATCTTATTGATCATTGTTGACTCTTTCACTCCAAATGCCAGCACACCTTCATGAAGAAACATAGTGAATGTTAACCTTTATTTTGTACATATGACGGTCACCTCCATAACAACACCAGTTTCATCACTTTACCTGACAGTAGCAAGATGAGAACAGCAGCAAAGACGTCTGGGTAAGGTGCAAGGCCAGGGAGGCCCATGGCTGCATTTTCTTCAAAATATTTTGATATGTGGCCACCTATGAGGTCATCAAATGTCCCGCTCCATGCTAGAGCAACACTGGATGTCCCTGAGCAGATAGAGACAGAACGGTGCAATAAACTAATCAGTTTGAGTCACCACTTAACAGTCGTCATAAACAGAAAACACTGATGATGATGTTTCCTTTTGTGCCTCTTAAATGCTTTACGACTGTGTTATT